GCTGCAGGCAAAGCCATGCTGCAATGACATGCTACGTGGCAATGCACACTTGTTTTTACATCGTAAAAACCCGTTTCTAGTTTTGTTTTGATTTTCTCCTTTCAGGCTTGTTTGGTTTTATTGTCCTGTCGCTGCTGCTCATCCCCATGTACTTCATCTACGTCGGCAACTTCAGCAACAACCCTCGGCACGTCCTGGAGGACGCCATAGACGCCTTCTGTCAGATCGGGCACAAGCCTCTCATCATTTTGGCTCTGCTAGGCAACACGGTCAGCATCGCTTTCTTCAACTTCGCCGGCATCAGCGTGACCAAAGAGATCAGCGCCACCACTCGCATGGTGCTGGACAGCCTGCGGACCCTGGTGATCTGGGTGGTGAGCCTGGCCTTGGGTTGGGAGCAGTTTCAGGGCTTGCAGGTTCTGGGTTTCCTAGTCCTCCTGCTGGGCACGGCGCTCTACAATGGACTGCACCGCCCCCTGCTGGCCAGGATACCGTGGTGCGCCGCGAGGATGGACTTGGAGGAGAGCAGCCCGGCAGAGCGAGAGCGGCTGCTGAACGACGGCAGCGTTCAGGGTGCGGACACGTAAAACTGCCGTCACCGTGACGCTGCGCCTTTCAGGAGTTCTGTCAGTCGACATTTACACGTTTTCTGTTTACGCCTCAGATTGTAATATATCTTTTTTTTTATTTTGTCACTTCAGTAGGAAAAAGAACTGAATATTAATTTTATTTCTTAAATTCTTCATCATCTGTGACTATTTTTTTTGGAGAAAGAGGAAAAGAAAGAGAGGAAAAAAGAAGAAATATAAATGGAAAGATTGAAAGGGAGATTAGAAAATATATTATATGTACACCAAGAAAACACAAGCCAACACACCCGACATCTTTCTGTTCATCTGAAAATAAATGGATACAAGAAAACATAAAAAAAGACATGTCTATATGATTACAAAATAATTATAATTTTGCTGTAAAGCATGTATACACACACACACACACACACACACACACATACACATTAGGGGTGCAACAATACATGTACTCGTATTGAACCGTATCGAACAGAGCTTTAGGTTCAACACACACTTGTATGGAACAATACAGATTTTTAAAATTTATTTTATCAACTTGTCTTCTGAAGATGCTCTGTGTTGAAGGATCAGTGGATCTGTGTTCGACTACTCCACCTAGGCTGTGTTTTTGAGCKCAGATCCACTGAGAAACTTGCTGTTTCAGCAACATTTAATTTAAAAACTGTACTTTTGAGGTTAAACAAACGTTCATAATTAATTTAAATAAATTACAAGTTGAAAGGGGCATGGACATTTCTCTTTTTTGTATCGAAAAAATATCGAACCGTGAGACTAAAGTATTGAACCGAATCGTGAATTTTCTGTATCGTTGCACCTCTATTTGTGTGTGTGTGTACATATACACACATACCCACATCCACACATGTAGACATACCTACTGTACCCTCTAATACATATACACAATGACCGACTGGACTCCCTGGATCTGATTTTAATGAATCTAACTCGAGCTGTAATCTGCASGTTTGTTTTTAAAACCGTAGGGAAAAAGTCACTTATTTGCTTTCTTCTAGAAAGTTAAAAGTTTTTTATAACTGTCAGAAACAGTTCAGCTCAGGTTGCAGGTTTAAAGTTTACGATAAAAACATGAAGTTAAAACAAACTGACTCAAATTTTTTTTCTTGTAGTTTCCCTTTTTATATTTCAAAGCAAAAAGTAACCCCCTCCTGTTAATACCTCCATGCTAACATCGCCACTTTTTCCTTCTTTTTTAATCCCCAAATCTAAACTGAAAAAGAGAAAGAAGCTGACAGTAGTTTTATTATAAAATTAGATTTTGGGGGAAGTTTTTATGTTTTCTGTTTTTCTTCACTTTTTAAAGGCATTCTTGAAGAAAACCAAAAAAAAAGTTATCAGTGTGATTGTTTTGTTTTTAAGAAAACAGAACAATTTTTGGGCATTTTGTGTAAAACTGGAAATCAAAATCTCATTTTGTGTTAATTTGTTCAAATTAAACCTGTAATATAATCATAATGTAAAGGTTTTATTGATTGAGCCAAAATGTTTTCTGCTCAGCACAAATTTTCATGCCAGTAAAGGTGTTTTTAGAAGAAAATTAGGATTTTTTATTTTAATGCAAATAGGAGAGGGTGTTATAAGTGTTGTCATGTGTTTGTGAACAGAACTTTATATAAAGAAATCTTTGGTTGATTTTAATTAAAAACATGCTGCAACCCTTTAATTTAAATGATAATAAATGGTACATGAGGAAGTAAAAAGGGAACTGTTGTGAAATCACAATGATTCTGTGATCTTTTTATCTTTATTTTTTGTCATTTGTGTGCAAAAAAGGTAGTTTTATAGAATGAAATACATTAAATATTTGATATTTTTGTTCACATGTAAAAAGGTTTTGTTTTTCTGTTGAAATCATTTTAAACTGAAAATAAAAAAAGGACTCCTTGGCTGGACGAGGGAGGCATTTAAAGATGATTAATGTAAAACTTGTGTGTCAAAGTACAGCTTCAACTCTGATTTAGGGCTGCAGAAGTAAAAACAATTAAAATAACTTTTTTAAATTAATATTTAGAGACTTTTACTGCTGTTTATAAAAACCAACGCTGATTTTTCTATTTGAGCAGAAACTAAATGAAAGTTTGATTGAAAAAAGAGTGAAGGTGTCAAATATCACAAGCAGCTGACACCTGCACTCACTTCCTCTAAACGTCCCTGCAGACCCCCTCTACCCTTTAATGGGGGTCAAATGTTAAAGCTGGGGTTCCTCAGGGAGCCCTGTGTGTCACCATGTTGGATTTAATGGGGCGGGATAAAAAACGTGTTAACTGACCACAAACATATTGGTTTGATTTGGTAATTTAAGACTTTAGAGTGATTAGAAAGGTAATTTTTCTTTTACATCTGCATGTTTGATTATTTTATTACAAAAAAAAATGTTGCTCTATATTTACAGATAATTTATTAGAACCATCTGCAGTAAATCCAGTTAAATCATATGAAATTAGTTTGTTTTAATAATAGAACCATGAGTTCAGTGGATCTAAGCTCCACGTTGAACACAACTCATCTCAATTCAGTGGATTTGATTTGAAATGTTATAAAATTCAAATTGCAGCATGGCTGGAGAGGAGATGAGCTGAAAAAGTCAAAGTGTTGAAATCAAATCAAGTTGAAGAAACTAAAATCTAATCAGCTGAGATCGTTTAAAAATAAATGTCAGCCACTGATCTGATCAGCATTTGTGAAATATCTTTTTAACGTTGAATATTTAACCCAGAATCTCATAGAGTCATCCTTTTTTTTTTTTTTTTTTTTTTTTTTTTGTAGTCAGCAGTCAAGTTAAAGCTGATTGATTTTCCCATTGGTTGTACAAAAGTTCAAATTTCTTGTGGAGATCAGTTAGTTCTCTGAGGGATTTAATCACTTGTTTAAGCAAAAAAAAAAAGTGTTTTTTTTAGGTTTACAGGACATCAGGCCGTGACAAACAGCAGAACTGAATGAAAGTGGAAAAAAGTCACAATTTTATCCAAAACCGTCTCTTCGTTGTTGGACTGACGGTTTCTAAGAGGCACTTTGAAGCACTGCAGGCACTGAAGCAGTTCCATCAGTTTTTATTCACTTCAAGTTTCCAAAATAAACACCTAATGAGTCGTAAAAATAACTGAAAATGTGTCTGTTGTAGTTTAAAGAGGAAAGCGTCTAACTCAGGTASACCAGGAAGAGTTTTCATTATGATGGGAGGAAAAAAATAAAGCTTTTCTTAAAACGAATTCATAAAACAAAAAAAGTTTTTTTTTATGCTAGAGGAAAGGATATCAAACACAGTAAAAGTGGTAAAAAAAAAAACTGTTGTATTCTGGGGCAGGCTTTCAGTTTTCTTCCTGAAGTGGTGCTCCACTCTCAGTGGGCTCAGACACATGCTCCAGGCTCTGCTCCTCATGTCTGTGAGGACTTTTATCAAGAGTCCTCAAACTCTCAAACTCCTGGAAAGTCTTGTTGTAACCTACATGCAAACTGTGTGCTGTTGTGTTCTTTCTTTCCTCAATATAAAAATAAATAAGGCCTACATTACCACTTAGTCATTTTGCCTGAACCTGAGTTCTGTAACTAACATATTTATTTATTTATTTATTTATTTATTTATTTATTTATTTAAACCTCCCCTCAGAGACGTGTGCAGCAACAGTTCCTGTAATGCTCGGTTTGACCGCTAGGTGTCGGTGTTTCACAACTAAATAGAAAATAAAAGCTCTCAGCTCCTCTGTGGAAACATCTGCCTCTTTGTTAAAGCTTCTCAGATCAAATTAGTAATAGCAATCATTGTAATAACACCTCAATAACAGGATAATACAACTGTAAATAWGGACTCAGACAACAAAGGTTAAAGGTAACGTAAACTATCTACTAGACGTTTAMAATCCTTTAGAACTTAAATGTTGCTTTTTAAATTAATTGACCTAAAGTAGTAAATAATATTTTATTCTAAGGGGGGCATGGGGTGTTTTTAGTGCCCCAAAGAGCAGCTGGATGAGGAGCTGCAGCTTCTCACTTAAAAATAAATTTCCATGAAAAGGGTCAAAGAGGACTCCGGGGACAGCCGGAGACGTTTCCAGTAGCTGTTTGCAGGACAAAGTTTGTGCACTCCCTTGAGAMAAACTAACAACTCAGAGCAAAAATAATAATAAAAAACTAATAAACAGAATAATAGAAATAATTTTTTTGCTCTAAATTTTGCTTTCTTTTTGAAAGTCTTGTTTTCTCATTTGACTGAACTTAAAAGCAAAGCTTCTCCTGCTGCAGTCTGGAGTTTCCTCTGCAGATGAGTTTTATTTGTCCAAACAGCAGCAGGGTCGAGGTGTGAAGGTGAAGCTGCTCTGCTTTGCATCAAACTTTAACCTCCTTCATCTGTAGCAACACGGAGGAATGTGCATCCCTTTTGGACACATTTTCTTTCAACTGATCTTATTTTTTAACGCAAAATTAAAAACAATTTTGGCCAATCACGGCCCATCTTAAACAGGATGAGCTGGAGCAACTCCCCCGGGAAAATTAAAAACTATTTTGCAGAAAACAAGAATTTGTTTCTATTAATTATGCAATTTATTTTTGATGTTATGAAGAAAAAATAGAGAAGTGTAACTAAAAGTGTTTTTCTTAAAAAAAGAAATTAATCAAACTGTCTCTGTTCATTTAATGAAAATTAAAAGTCACATTTTGCAACAATTTATCATGTAAATGAGCTTGTTAAACCATGAGTCCAGTTCRCGGTCCGGGTCTGCAGGGTTCTGAACCTCTGGGGCGACTTTTATCGGTTGTCATGTAAACAGATGCCTTGCTCAGAGGCTCAGATGTCAGCATCAGATTTAAAAAGCTTCCATTAAAGCAGGTTGTTTACAGGCTGCGGTCATTCGTCTCCAGTGTCCAACTAATGACCACTTCATGTGTCCAACTCTGAGCGAGAGGAGCGCAGAGTCCGAACCTGCTGCTGCACAAGAAAACACTTCAAATACTAATAAAACAGACTGCAAAAAATACAAACTAAAAACCTTTGATTTGAGCTAAGATTTTGATTAATCAGTTTTAATTAATATTTCACTTCTCACAATGCAAAACGACACTTTCAGAATATTGAGCTGCATTCAATGTAAACAAAGCAGTGAGTAAAAATGTGACTTTTTTCCTGCCATA